GGACCAGTTAAACCGTGTCGGTTCATCTGATTTTATGTTGAACCGTGAAAAACCGTTTGGTCAATCAATAACCGTTCAAACAATGAACCGGACCACTATCGTAACTGGTTTGACGGTTCTACTGGCCCGACCGTTGATCTGATTCGGTTCTTATAACAAAACCTTTTTTGCGTTGCACCTACTTCCTACTTGAATTCACGATCTAATAAAGGAGATAAAATAATCCACCTTAATGAAAGTTTCCTCTTTGAGTGGGATTTTTTTATTTTATAAATGAATACTAACATACCGTTTGGTATAAATGAATTCCACAAATTTTGAGAAATTCATTTTGAAATGAATCCTTTTTGTGTTTGGTATTTAAAAGAATTCATTTTAAATTCTAAATTTTGAATTCTATGGAATTGGAACTAGTTATAGCAATTCCGAGGAATTGAGATGGAATTTTCAAATGAATTCCACAATTATTTACTAATTATAATAAAATTATATAATTATTCTCTTTTATTAACTAAATTACTTATACAATTAACATACCAAACATAGGAATTCATTTGACAATGAATTCTACACGACAATTCATTGTATTTCCAAAGATTTGAATTTAACATACCAAACACAATATTTCATTTGACAATGAATTCTACATAGTAATTCATTATACCAAACACAATATTTCATTTGACAATGAATTCTACATAGTAATACATAGTAAATTCGAAATGAAATGTGGTTCGAAAATCAGAGTGTTATACATAAGCCAGTAGGCCAGGACAAGGTCAACCGCAACCATATTATGGAAACCAAAATGTAACATATGACCTCAATCACCTTGAAAGTATGCACACTTGTTATTCTTTCAATAGATGTGACTAATCGCGACGTCCCAATCACGGGCACGTCAACCATGGCCATGATAACTTAAAGCTGAAGGCTTTCATTTTGTAGTGAAGTTTAACGCAACAGCTTTTTGTTGTTACTTGTTGTATTCAGTTAAAACATCAAAATGAAATGTTGGTTTGAGATCGCATGTTATTTTGTAAATAATTATATTGCGACATTATTTGCTAGGAATTCTTCCTTTAGCGATCAACATAGTGTATGATTCCCTCTCAAAGACTGAGTTTGAACACATTTGCAATGTCATATCTAAATCGACAATTAGTAACGATTGACATCATCAGAATTCGAACAAGATGAATCTTAAATAAGGACTTCGATAGTTGTTAAGTTTTAGTCGGTCCAAATTTGCTAATAAAATGGTTAGTGGATGTCTAAAATTGTATCGTGGAAACTATGCTAGTGATACATTTAAAAAAAAAAAATAAGAAATACATAATACATAATTATCATGTGGTCTCAGTAAGAACGTTATGACTACGCAAATCTTCCTTTCATGTTGGCACAACACGTTGATCACTTGGATTTACAACATAAAACTTAATTTTTTTGCATGCAGTAACTGAAAAAAAAAGAATATGAAACGTAAACTTCAATGAATTCAACATAAGTTAAGATCGATGGATGATCAGGGCAACCGATCCAAGAAAGAAAGAAAAGAAGCCTCCATCCCTACACGCCAGCTAGCTAGCTAAACCATTGGACAATAAACTGTAATCGATTCAGACGCCCAACTCCCCAAAAAAAAAAAAAAAAGAAGAAGAAGAGAGGAGTTGATCGATGAACCCTTCACAGCTAGAGTGCAATTTTGACTTATATGCAGATTACATGGGATGGGAGGTTATCAATCAATCAATCAGGCAGCCAGCCAGCCAGCCACTCAAGTCAATCAATCAAAAGATCGAGGGAATCTCTGCTTAAATTACATCATAATTAATTCCATGTGACTTCATCTCCTCGATCAGCAGCCGGAAACACACACACACATGCATATCACCAGTTTATCCGTTGTGTAATTAGCCACCTGATCAATCTCCATTATATTCTCCAGGCAGTACTGTCTCAACCCCCAAACAGCTAGCTAGTGCCGCCTCTTTCATGTATACTATACTACTGTGGTTGATGATCATATCCATCCACCAATGACGATTGTAGCTAGATACATATACATTCTTGAAACAGAAGCAACACAGGCTGCTGGTCACTCTGGATCGTGGTCGATCTGCACAAATGAGATTATAAACCATCAATAATAAAAAAAAAGGAGTCATTAAGAGCTGGTGAGCAGGAAATTGTGAAATGGTGAGTAAAACCCTCGACCAAATCATTGTTAAGAAGTGGTATAAGATGAATGTTGATATAGTATCAAAGTCATATGTACCAGAGAAGTTTTATGTTCGAATCTCAATGACCCCATTTGTTAAAAACTTGATATTGTAATGCATATGCAAACTTAAGCCCTCCTTAGTTGGTTTTCTCAAATTCGAAAATGGGTGGTTTATAAGTGATAGAATGATTGACAATTAAAATCTCTTTCCTATCCAATGCACTAACTAGTTCTTGAAAACCATTGCCATTAGTTACCCCTTTATCACGGGTGCATATATTTGCATGTGCCTGCCATTAGGTATATACAGAAATGTATATTTTGTTACTACGTACAGAGATTATACAAGGAAATCGACTCGTGAGTAGAAAGAAACATATATATATATATATATATATAGTACTCTCTAGCTAGCTAGTTAAACAGAACATATCATCCTATTCCTAGGTAGGTTGTCAAGTGAAATCCATGTGCATCCAAGGCCACTTTCACTCGTCATGGATCCATCTATATCCCTAGTCTGTCGGGCGAAACATTAAATGGCTGGCAATGGCATGTGTCTGTGTTTCTTTACTAGTATGGGTTAGCTGCCACCTGCAGCGGCCAGGAATTGGCAGTAGCTGAAAACTCAGGGAAACAAATATTTCACATTGGATGGATGGATGGATGATCATCAGCAAAATTTCCATGTACAACAACAAATGGATATGGTTAAGTTCTGCTCTGAAAAATACCCTCTAAATGGCCTCTCTCAAAAGAAAATTACTTTACTGCTAAAACAGAAGTACTGATGTTTAAAAGGATAAAAGGTAAAAAGAAACAAGCAGAAAGAGGCCCCATTTTACAGCTAGAGAACGAAAAAATGTTCGTTCGCAGCAAAAAAAAAAAAAAAAAAAAAAAAATACAGCAACTACTTACCCATTTATCGAAAAAGGAAGGCAGTAATAAGTAGAAAAAAAAAGGTACAGACATATACCTGCAGGTGAATGGTGATGGTGGTGGTGCCGGCCGGTGTCAGCTGGACCAACAACAACTCAGGTAGCTCCAAACCCTTTCATCTGATCAACTGCAAAGTAAACAAACTGGAAAAAAGGACAGCAAAAAGAGAGACGCTTAGATCCAGATTGCAGTCACTTTTTTTATATATATGTTTCTTAATAAACAAAAGGAAAAGAGATGTTCACATTACATTACCCTCCAAATTATATACTACTGCTCAGAGAGAGAGAGAGAATCGTCACAAAACCCTAGTACTCAACACATGGAAATACAATATTACTAGTTTTGTACATACCCAACAAAAACACACATCGTGATTTTCCCTCTTACCTTGAGCTCGCAGTCCCAGCTGCTTTCGGTGGTGGGTGGACTGACTGACTGATACAACAAGTTAGACGAGAAAGGATTAAGCAGCAGCAATAATAATAATAATAAGGGTAAAGGACAAGGAATTTGTTTTTGTAATGTTGTTAGTAAGCCAGTGAATTGCCGCTGCAGCATCATCAAGATTCCCAAGTTTGGTCTTGTACTAAGATCCCTTTATCTAGCTAGCTATTACCAGCTGCTCTAGTACTATATTTGAAAGGAAAAAAAAGAAAGGGGAAAACGCCACTGTAAATGTGGGGGAAAAGCAGCATAAAGAAATAGCCGACCACCATCATTATTGTTATTAAGAAATAGTAATTAACTGGTAGCAAGGCTTAGAACTCAACCAAGTGCCCCTTGTGAATCTTGATGATGCTCCACCCGCAAACACTGGCTAGCTGTAGCTGTCGTCTACTAGATCTTTTAATGGAACCCTAACCCTAACATTTAACCTAATCCCAAACCCAAATCGCAGCAGAGAAAAGAAAGTAAGGTAGGGGGGAGAAAAGGATGGGGAAAAAGAACAGATCTTGTCTTCTCAACAAGAGAGTTAGCTAGAAAAGCCAGGTGAAAAGAAAAAAAAGGAGAGAGCAAAGCAAGGGATGGTAAAAGGGATCATCAAGCTAGAAGAGAAACTAAGAACAGGAACCACAGAGGAAAAGGGTAAGGGTAGTAGGGTTTGGGTGATTTGAGAGAGAAAGGGAAGGAGAAGGAGAGGGTAATTTGGTGGAGTGTGTGTATTTGTTTATGTTGGACTTGGGGAAGGGAGGAGTAAAATAGGCAGGTGGTATAAATACCCAAAAGTTCAAAACCACCACCCGATCTTCTTCCATCTCTCTACCAAAACCAGATGGTAGTTTTGGAGGAGGAGGAGGAGTGAGATGAGCAGTGTTGTTGCCTACTGTAACTAATGAATGAGAAGAACAAGGACACTGAGAGAGGACCGGTTGTGGGGTGACTGGGTGAGAGATTTATCTGTCAGTTACAGCCACATAGCGAGAGATTGGAGAGAGAGAAATGAGAGAGGAGAGACCCACAACAGTTATACATCGTAATCCTAGGTCACCCCTTTTTAGTTTTTACTCTAACCCTCTCCAACCCCACACCCACACCCACACATGTAGGGGTGGGCATCGGTTCGGTTCGGTCAAAACCGAACCGAAATGGAGCATACCGGATCCCCGATTTCATCTCAACCCCAAACCGAATTCGAACCGGAATATATTTCGGTTCGGACCATCCGAACCGAAATATATCCCGGTTCGGTCCGGTTTTAATGCTCAACCCGAAACCCTTCCTTCCTTTTGACTTCTAATCTGCCTTCTCCAAGACTGCAACCCCTCTCACTTTCTTTTTCCTTTTTCGACAGATCCATTCCCCTCTCTCTCCCTTTCCATTCATTTTCTACCCCCTCCAATTCTTTATCTCTCCTTTTTTCCAATCTTCCAGTACAACATCACACCACCAAAATCAATTCAAACCCGATGGAGGGGAGGAAGGGAAGTGGCTATGACGGCAAGGAGTAACGACGAGAGAGAAGGAAGGGAAGCGGTACGCCGCCGTCGTGTTCACTCCGCAAGCCGCCTTCGGATCTGCTCTGCCCACTCCACAAGCCGCCGTTGAGCACGTCGCCGCCAAGATGTCAACACCAGAATTGTCGGCGGTAGATCTCCTTTCCTCTCCTCCCCTGGCCGAGGGCAACCTGCTTCAGATCGGCTCCAGTTGCAACGCAGCTCAAGGATTGGGATATCTTGACTCGGATTCTCTTCTCTAGGCGGCAACGGCGAGAGATGATAGATGAGAGAGATGGTCTTTGTTGGTTGTCTGCAGAGAGAGGTGAGAGGCGGCAACGGCGAGAGATGATAGATGAGAGAGATGGTCTTTGTTGGTTGTCTGTAGAGAGAGGTGAGAGGGGTCATGGGCTAGGGTTGTGTGATTCATTATTTGGATTTTGGGCTCAGGAAGGTAAGTCTTTTGGGCTTGTTGGGCGACTGGGCTATGATGATTATTGGGCTGGGCAGCATGTTTCGGTTTGTCGGTTCGAAATTCGGAACCTCGGTTCGGTCAAAAGAACCCTGGTTTCCGAATTTGGCACATTCTCCTTCCGAATTCCGAACCGAACAACAATATTTCGGTTTCGGTTCGGTTTAAATCGGGTTCGGTCCGGTTCGGTTCGGGTTTACCGAACCGTGTGCCCACCCCTACACACATGAACACAACACAAAATTAAGATTTAAGAAAGAAACAAGACTCAAATATTAAGAAGAAGAAAAATAATCTTTTTATATAGTACATTAGTTCACACCGTCCCCAACTCCTCCCTCTCCCAGCACAAGGTTCAAAAGTGATGTAACAGTTATATTAGAAGCGTTATGTAAGTCTTCTGTAATGATTTAAGAGATTACGTAACGAAAGGTTAATATTCATTACGTAAAATGAGTGTCTGTTACGTAAGGTTTTCGTAATGACATTTTTCAACTATTACGTAAGATAAACGCACATTACGTAACCATTAGGTAATGCCTATTGTATTTTACTTAGTGCGACTTGTGAAATCTGTTATAGCAGGTCAAAAGCATCAAGTTACAATAACTTCAAGGTATTGTAGGAATTTTCTCTGGTATATGGTAGTTTTCGCAAAACATACAAGGAAGTGGGGAACCATTAACACCAAATGAATTGTGTATTTATATAATTTCCTGAGAAAATCTACCTATACGATCTCCATATATCCATATTAAAATTAAATAATAAATTACAAACAAAATGACAAATCATATCTAAATGCAACATTTAATACTAATATCTCCAAAAATTTGTTGGAATCCAATAGATAACATCAAAAATCTAAATATTCATACTATAATTCGGCAAATTTTTTCTTCGTGTTAGTTAGTTCCTCCAAAACGACATCATTTAAAAAAAAAGGGGAACTTTGAATGAGTTTCGGTGAAACCTAGCGAGAGTTTCGGAGCGGCGATTTTTTCCTGGCAAACCTAGCGCATACTGCCGATGGTCGGCCCTGGGTAGGGGACTGCCCCCCCGACGACTAAACCGCCGGACCTCTTATCTGGAGCTCGGCGACCTCCGATTACTTCGTCGTCGCCGAGTGGTAAAGGGGATAGAGAGACGGAGCAGGACAAGAAGCGGCCAAGGGGGATGAGCCTAAACCCTTTGTTCGAGAAGATGAACGAAGACGTGCCGGAACTTCCGGATACCGCAAAAGTGGATATGGCTGATGACGAGGAACGTGAGGAGGTTTTCGAGCAGCCTCAGCAGAATGCATGGAATAACGGGACGAGGCAACTGTTTGATGACCTGAGAGTGCATGAAGATTATTACATTGCCGAATCGGACTCAGAAGACGTGGCAAACGCGATGAGAGAGGATGATAACGACGATGAAGTGCCTGAGGATGATGATCCAACATGTCCCACTATTCCTTTCAGGTCGGCAGAGAAACAACGTTGGAGAAGGCCGTGGAGGTCAGCCCTTATAGTTAAGGTGCTAGGGCGAACCTTCCCTTTCCCAGTGATCTCGCGTAGGCTGGAGCAACTGTGGGCTAAATGTGGAACGATACAAATTTCGAGCCTCACATGGGGTTTCTATGTAGTGCGGTTTACTTCACAGTTTGATTATGAACAGGCTGCTGCAGGAGGACCATGGATGGTCGGGGATTATTACCTTACGGTCCGAAGGTGGGTGAAAAATTTTGATCCAAAAGTTGCTGAGGTTGCGACCACAATGGTATGGGCACGACTCCCTGACCTTCCCATTGAGTTTATTAACAAGGAGGCAGTTGAACAAATTGCTAAACGGATTGGGAAACCTGTAAAGGTGGACCGAATTACCCAGGCAAGTGCAAGGGGGAAGTTTGCAAGGGTGTGTGTGGAAGTGGACTTAATGAAGCCGTTATTATCGAAGTATAAAATTGAGGGTAAAAAGTACTATATAGAGTTTGAAGGCTTGCATTTGATATGTTCCGAATGCGGACGATATGGCCATACTAAGAGAGGATGCCCAAAAATGCAAGCGCAACAACCGCCACAGCAGGAACGACGTGAGGAGACGCCTGACACAGGAATGGATAGCGAGGAGCCGGTGTATGGAGATTGGATGGTGGCTCGGCCAAGAAATAGAAAAGGAGCGGGAAGAAAACAAGCTCAAACGCACCCATCACATGGGGCGGGGGAAGCAAGTAAGCAACATCAAATGGCGGAAGTGGACGTTGGCCTGCATGGGTCGAGATTTCGTGAGTTGGAAACTATGGAAGAGGAAACGGAGGAGGGAGTGGATGAGGAAATTATTATGGAGGAACCTGGGGAAAAGAGCATGGATGTTGAGACACAAAGTGGGACTGTTCTTGAAGAACAAAGCATGAGGGACAAAGGGCAAAAGGAAAATGTACCAGATGCTATAACGCCTAAGTCCCCAGTGCATAGTTCCATGGTGGGCAGCCCGGGTAAGCAAGCGCAGGAGATGGAGTTAAAACAAATATCAGGTATCAAACAGGATAAAGAGGAAGAAGGAGCTGGGAATCTCTCAAAAGGCAAAACAAACCAGCCCAAGCCGCAGAACAAGGATATCCATGTCAAGCCAAGCATGGCAGATCCATGTGATTTGCGTATCAAGGAGGGTGGGAAACAAGGTACTAAGAAACTAGGTTCGAAGGTACAGTCAGTGACATTCTCTGTAAAATCTCAAGCTAATGGTGCGGGGAACCCATCCCCTCCGGTCCATAAATGAGAATTCTGAGTTATAACTGCCACGGTTTGGGGAGCAAGCGGGCAGTTAAATCGCTCAGGTCGCTCTTGCGACTTGTTTCCCCACAAATTGTCTTCCTGATGGAGACAAAACAAACATGCGAGGAGAATGAGGTTGTAAGGAAAGAATTGGAGTTTGCTGGTGGGAGTAGTTTTCCGACGGATGTCTCGCGAAATGGGAGGGCGGGAGGTTTAAGTCTGTGGTGGAAGGAAGAAGTTAATATTATCCCGAGTAATGTGACGGCTAATTATATCGACGTGATGATTGACGAGCAGGGGTGTGAACCGTGGCGTTTTACTGGTATTTACGGATGGCCAGAAAGCTCGGGAAAATATCGTACATGGGAGCTCATCAGACAGCTAGGTAACCAATCCAGCGCACCCTGGCTGTGTGGTGGCGATTTTAACCAAATTCTTTCGTATTCTGAGAAGAGTGGAGGACGCAATGATCAGGGGAACAATATGATTAATTTTGCGGAATGTCTTATAGATGTGGATCTTCATGACCTCGGCTATCGGGGCTATAACTTCACCTGGGAAAATTGTCGAGGAGAAGGAGCCTTTATAGAGGAAAGATTAGACAGATTCGTGGGTTCGGAGAGCTGGAGAAGTAATTTTGGCAGCTTCAGAGTAACACATTTGGACCGCACCAGTTCGGATCATAGACCTATAATTTGTGACACTAGAGGAGAAGAAGATGAGGATCCGAGGTGGGGGTGGTCATTTCGCTTTGAACCGTTATGGGTGAAGCATAATGATTGTGCAGAAGTGGTAAAGGAAGCATGGCAAGCGCAATCTCCAAATATTCGGGATAAAATTGAGGCCTGTCGTTCGAAGTTGGAGGAGTGGAGTAGGGGTGCTTTCCCACATTTTGCTGACCAAAAAAAGAAGATTCGCAAAGCTTTAAGGGCTTTGGAGAGAAGAGAGAAAACGGATTTGGTGCTAAATCAGATTCGGCAGTTAGATGGGGAGTTGGCGGAAGTTGAAGCTAATGAGGAAATGTACTGGCAGTAGAGGTCGAGGGCGGATTGGTTGAAGGAGGGCGATCAGAACACGAACTTTTTTCACAAGAAAGCGTCAGCCAGGCGTAGAAGAAATATGATTCGGAAACTCAAGGACGAGAGCGGAGAATGGTTTGTGGGAACAGACAGAGTTATGCAGTGTTTTCGGAATTACTATTCACGATTGTTTGAGGTGGGTGCTCTACCGAACCAAACCCCTGTCTTGGATGCTGTAAAAACGGTGATTTCGAGGGAGGATAATGAGATGTTGATGAAACCTGTTGAGAGAGAAGAAGTGGTGCGAGCCCTCAAACAGATGGGAAAACGCAAAGCCCCAGGGCCGGATGGGTTATCTGTGATGTTTTATCGACAGTATTGGGAGATTGTAGGGGATGACGTGGTTTTCACTGTTAAACAGATTATTGAGGAAGGAGTAATGCCCGAAGAAGTAAACCATACGGTCATTGCGTTGATACCAAAGGTTAAGGAGCCGAGTTTGCCGCAGGAGTTTCGCCCTATTTCCCTGTGCAATGTGATCTACAAGTTGGTTTCGAAAGTTTTGGCGAACCGATTGAAGCTGTTACTAAATAAAGTCATTTCTATGGCTCAGTCAGCTTTTGTACCAGGGCGCTGTATTACGGACAACATTATGGCGGCTTTCGAGTGTTTTCATACGATGAGCAAGAAAACTAAAGGGAAAACTGGATTTTTAGCGGCCAAGATTGATATGGCCAAAGCCTACGACAGGGTGGAGTGGCCTTTTTTGGAGGGGGTAATGCGACGGATGGGGGTTCGATGAAAGGTGGATCCGGATGGTTATGCTATGTGTGACGAAGGTTTCATATTATGTTCTCGTTAACGGGCACAAATCAGAATCTTTTATTCCAGGAAGAGGTATCAGGAAAGGGGATCCGTTGTCACCGTATCTCTTTCTATTGTGTGCGGAGGGGTTGTCGGCATACACATCCCAAGCAATTCAACAGAGAAGGCTTCACGGTTTTAAACCGGCTCAGGGAGCCCCCATAATATCACATCTGTTTTTTGCAGATGATAGCATTTTCTTTACTAGAGCGACTGTTCCCGCGAGTTTGATGCTGAAGGGAATACTACGAGATTATGAAAAAGAGTCCGGGCAACAGGTTAGTTTTCAGAAATCAGATGTCTCTTTTAGTAAGAATGTGTCTCACCATCGGAGGCTGGAGATAGGGGGTATTCTGGGTATGAAGGTGGTCGAGAAACATAACAAGTATCTCGGGTTGGGGAGAGTGGCCGGGAGATCGAAGAAGGAGCTGTTTGGAGATATTGTTGAAAGAATTAAAAATAAGCTGAAGGGATGGAAGGAAAAAACTCTCT